TGTACAGGTTATTGAGGTGGATGCCAGTTGTTGAGTTTCCGAATGGGGGGTAAAAAAGGTAACTTGCCGATTAATTAATGACTGTGCGTGCGCGCGTGTGTTGGTTTTGTTGTATGACTGTCGGGCCCTAGTTATATATCATTCTTTTTCGGCAAGTGTTTTGGCAGTGAAAAAAAAATAAAATTCTAGAGTGAGCTTTTGTATATATAGACCATTTTTCTTGTTAATTTAGAGTTCATTTTGCTGTGAGACTTGATAAGTGATAGTATTGGTGGATTGAGTGAGAAATTTGCTTTATTTTTTATTTTTATTTTTATTTTCTGTATGATATGCCGTGTGAAGCGAATATATGACTTTATCACGGTTCCTGGTCTGGCCTTATTCTCATTTTGATTAGGAATTTTTTGGTGAAGGGTTAGTTTTATTTAGCTGCCCTTGTGAAAAGAAAATTCATGCTCATTTTGTTATATGTACATTGTATTTTCTGGGAGGTTTTCTACTTGATTCTTGTTTAGAGCTTTGTCGTAAATTTACACTTTGAGGTGTTTGGCCCAGTCTTGAAAAGGGAAAGTTCATATGACTTTCAAAAGCACAAAAAGTGTCCATGATCATCCCTCAGGTGTTTTCTTGAAAAATATCACCTACCCTCAATCTCTAGGGAGTTGTATATGTAAATAGAGGTAAATGTCAAAGGAGTATTTGCAATTATAAAAAGATTTTTGGGGTTATTTGATGATTAAATCGAGGTTGAGGTAACCTACTTCTTGTTTTATGTGGAAGATTCGATTATGCAATCAGCGGGTTTTTCACTGTGTGTTAATCAAACGGTAAAAAACCTGACTGGTACTGGTTAGGGCGAAATTTACTGTTTTATGTCGAGGGCTGTAGATAGTTATCTTGCAGAGCTGTTTTTTTTCTTCTCTTCTTGGTCCTGCAAGCTTCCAGGAAATTGTAAAATGGAAATTTGGTGGAAAAGAGTCAAATTGAAGATTTATTATTATATAATTCTTGGTTGGCTTCAATTAAATAACCAACTGCAGCATATCATATGGTGCAGACAGTGCAGTTAGCTGCAATATTTTTTAAGATAACTTGTTTGTTGGAATCGTTGTTTGTTGGACTATTTCAGTTGACATTCAAGAAGCATAACCAGTCACGAATCAAACTATTATTTTTCTAAATTTATTCTTACTGCACAAGGCATTTTTTTTTCTACCCTAGATAAAA